CCCCCCGGGGAAAAGCCACAGGATTGGGACTGCAGCCCTTCGGAGACCGGGAGAGCGAGCAGGCGAGACGCGGGTCTCTGAGGGTGTCTTGTCGCACTTGAAATGCATCGTGTAAGCCACAAACATGGCTCTAGACTTTATTGGTGATCTTCATGAATTCTTTTTTAATTGAGAGAGTAGATTATCTCCCATAAGGATCTGACTTGTAACTGCTCACAGCCCCCACCAAACAGGCAGCAGTGGGGGGCACCTGCCCCCTGCGCTGCCCCCAGGAGGTGGGGGTGCAGTCGTAGGGGTGGGGTGGAGGGGAGCTGGGAGAGTGGACTGAGCGTGCCGCGTCACAGCCTCTGTCCCTTCCGCCCTCCTTGCAGTTAAGATCCTGCTGTTCTACGTGATATTTTATGGCTGTCTGGCTGGCATCTTCATCGGGACCATCCAGGTGATGCTGCTCACCATCAGTGAGTTCAAGCCCACGTACCAGGACCGCGTGGCCCCACCAGGTAAAACCACATGATGGGTCGCTTCCTCCACAGGTGAAAGGGGCATCACTTTTCCAATTGAAAAAACTTTTCTGAACAATCGTGCATTAATATCATTTTAAACCCAGCCTGCGAAGGAAACAGGAGTTTCTGCTGCAGCCAGCAGTCCCGCCCGCATTGCAGGCAGAGCCCAGGCAGCAGGTCGTGGCGCCCGGCTCTGGATGGTGGGTGAGGCGCCCTCACCCCAGCCTGCCACTCACCACTCTGCGCCGGAGTGGCTGAGCCCTGACCCACAGGTACAGGCTGTTAGTGGGGTTGCTTCAGGACCTTCCCAGCACTAACACAGTTTTTATTTTCTGGAGGAGACTATGACTCAGATAATTCCTTTAAGAAATCACTTTGGCTCCTGGTTTAAAAGGCTAACTTATTTTTAGGGGTGACGAGAAGGTCTCAATGGGCAGCTGTTAACAGAGAGGAGCCAGGAATTCACAGGTCCAGTCTCCACCCACCGCCCATTTTGCCATTTGACCTTGAGCAAAGTCATCCCTGTCTGTACCAGGAATCCTACTGACTGGCTTCTGGGCCAGTTTGCAGAGTGCCTGTCTCCTTTGCCTTAAACCAGAGGGGAAAAGAAAAGGTGTATGGCAGAAAAGTGCGGGCCCCCAGGTTTGCTGCGTGATTTGGGTGCCTTTGGTGTCACGTGAGCTACGCTGAGTGTGCGTGTGTATCCACACTGGTCCACACCAGTCCCAGGGAAGCTGCCAGGACTGGGAAGGGGAGCACAGCGAGGGGAGCCCTCTCTCCCTGGAGAGGAAGGAAGTACTGCGTAACTTCCAGGTTTTCCCGCATCCTCAGTGACCTTGAGGCTGCTGCTGGGGGCTGCAGTGACTGAGTGACTGGCCTAGGTCCCACAGCCTGCAGGGATCCGCCACACCTGCCTCCTTGGGGATGAGAAGACCCTGCAGAGTTCTCTGACACACCCAGGTAGATAGTCCTTCCCATTAAGAAATACCCAGACTATTTACAGATACAGCTAGACCTGAGGGGTGGGAGAGTGGAAAAAGAAAACACCTAAGTATAGAAAATGACGCAAACCCACTTAATAATCTACAGTTTCCAGCAACCCCTTTCCAGCAGCAGTGGGTCTGTGGGAAGGTCGAAGCACGCTCTGATGTGTGCAGAGAAGCACAGGCCCCAGCAGACACGCTGTGCCGGCCCTGGACGGCCTCTTCTGCTGGGATGTTGCTGCATTCCCTTCCTGGGGGCCTCTGTTTTGTCATTTAAAAGCTGTTCTCTCTGTGATGCCACCTTAAAATTCGTTCACTCGAGAGGCCAGAGACCACCTCAGAGCCAAGCACCTCCTTTAATTTCCTGCACTGAAAAATAGGGTCCTCGGCACTCAGGGGAGTTGGCCTCAATCAGATTAAAAATGGTCTTCATGCTCTGCAAAAGGGAGATTTCGAAGTAGATAGCCTTTCTCGATGAGGTCTAGGACGGCCTTGCCAGGAAGGTGCTCAGGGCCTCCACTCCCCATGTCCCCGCCCTCCGGCCCCTTCCAAAAAGACACATTCTCCGTACCTATATTTAGTTGCCCCGGCAGATGGACGCCCGGCAGACCCCCGTTCTCTAGCGGAATGCCGGTGGCTCATCTGGGAAGCTCGCATTCCTGTCCTTTCCTGAGTCACAGACGTCCTCACGCGCCATCTTCCCTGTCAGCTGCTTCTGGGTCCTCCATCTCAGAAGTTTCTCCATCCCTCTGTCTCCCCTCTCTCCCCTCACTTGTCCCCAGGCAGCCAAGCCCTTCTCCTCCCCATGGCTTGTTCCTAGGGCCTTGCCAGCCTGGAGGGCCTCTCTGCCCTCAGTGGCAGCTCTCAGTGTAGACGCTGAGAATCTGTGTTTTGGAGCGGCCGTCAGTGTGCAGAGCAGGCAAATGCACGGGAGAACAACTTGACAGTTTGTTTTTGCATCAGTTTAATATCATTAAGCCCCCACTTCATAACAGAGAGTTATATATTTAAGTCAACCAGGAAAGTGCGAGGACACCACTGCAGGCTGTCAGGAGGCGCCCAGGCTGTGCACGGCAGGCTCGGGCTCAGGCACGGACGCAGGCCGTGCACGGGCCCTAACTGTCCTTTCACACCCGTGTCTGTAACATGGGGAACATGGCCAGACCCGGCTGGGACAGGGGGGGGACCCCACGCCGGGGGGCTG